AAAGCATTATACATGATATGCTAATATTGATTCAAACTTTTATATGCAGCTTCATTATGAAGCATGGGTGAGATTTTTTATCCTCAACATTGTTGCCGGTTGTGTATATGCATTTTATGGGCAATATAATGCTAATCATGGAAGTGATGATACCATTTATTTCCATATACTACCATCCTTTCTGTAGGTACCATAGATGAGCTTCTCATGATGCATATTACTATATCCATCTTTATTGTAAATAGTTCATGTTTATTGTTGAAATGTATTAAATTAGGAAAAATATACGATCAAGACCGATATGGTACCTAATATTATGAAAGTATGTTTCATTTTTTGGTGTAGATGGTTATAAACAAAAACATAGACTTTTAGGTATTATATGTTGACACACTCTAAGTCGAAAAACCATTATTGAAAAGAAGGAAATTAAGTTAGAAAATAAAAAAATGGTTATTTCTTCATAACCTTTGGCATGGGTGGTGGTTTTCACATACACCAATAGTAACTTAATGAAGATGCCAATTTAGAGGCTTTGGGGCTGAAATTCAAAAATGAGATTTGTTTCATATGTTGAACTGATTGACATACCAAAAGATGATAACATTTAGAGGTCATTTGGTGAAGATACATAATGTTTTAGTTTTTTTTTTCTTTTGAGTTTGTTTTGGTGATTTTGATTGACTCTTTCAAGATTAGAGTTGTTTAAGTAATGGGTGTATTCGGTCGGTTTAATCGGTTAATTATCAGCTTGTTTGGTTTGGTTTAATCGGTTTTTTGATTTCTAAAATATTAATCGAAACCAAAGAAGTACAAAAATATCACATCATCCAAGTGTTATTAATAATATTGTATCAGAACTAGATGATCTTAAAATGAAGGTTGAAGATGAGGATAAAACACCAAGGCTCATATTATCTCTGTCGTCTTCCTACGAGCATATGAAGGTTATTCTGATGTATGAGAAATAGACATTAAAGTATGCAGATGTTATTGAAAAACTCTTGTCCAAGGAGAAAAGATTAGAATGTAGCAATTATACTTTGTCATCGGAGGGAACAGTTTTGATATGCTGGAACGGGAAAAAGAAAATCTTACAGAAGATATTGGTATGCTGGAAGTATGTACAGTTTGGGCATGTCAAAATGCTATATGTAGCTAATAATGTCTATGTTATTATTTACGGTGATGAATTCCTTAGAGAATTGACATCCTCATGGTATGCTTGTTACAATGAAAAAGGATTTATTTTTGTTAGCAAATTCACAAATCTACACATGATCATTGGATTGGCGTAAATGTAATATGTGTGGTGAAAGTTGATGTTGATGGTTGATGAACTTATGGGTATGTCAAATGGGGAAGTTGTACCAAAAAATTTAACAAGTTTTTCGACCTATGTCGATGTAAAATTCTTATAATGGTTTATTCCAAATTATGCTGCTCTTTTATGGTAGAGTATGACAATTACATGTCTTCAGAATTATGATTTTCGATTGAAGATAATGTTCTTTTTTAAATGGTTGTAGTTCTTTCATTGGTTTAACAACAGTGGATCAGTCTATATGATTATAGAAATTTATCATATAACATATCTTTCTCTTTGAATATGCTTGGGTTTTCTCCAATTTTGGAGTTGTCCATCTATATTCTTGTATTAAATTATTTTCTCTATTATTGTCACTAGAAGGGTCGATGAGATCATTGAAGTCATTTTCCTAACACAAATAATTTTCATTTTTTGTTCATTTTATGACTAAATTCAAAGAAAATGAGTAATCGCTTCTATCATTGGTGTGTTTTTTGAGACATCAACATACAAACTTTTCGCTTTGGGGACAAAATGATCAATTGCAGCAATAACCAAGGGATGACTTGGTTGACACTAGTAATTATTAATTTATTATGAACAATAATAACAATAAAAGAAGATAAGAATATGGATCATAATCGTTATTTACAGACTTAAATATTTCAAAGCGAAATAGTTATTATTATCTTAACTATGTTAAAAATGTAACGACCCAAAAACAGTAATAAAATATTTCATTTGGAAGTCTATCAAATCATTCATCAATTGTTCAAAATCAAACACCAAGTCATAATATTCAAAACATCAGAGTACAATTGTTCAGAATGCGGAAATCATGATAGGAGGATGCTATGCCATCACGCCGGCCTTTCCCTTTCGAACCGGAAGTACCTGAAACCATAAACATAAGCTGTAAGCACAAAGCTTAGTGAGTTCCCCACTGTACCACATACCAAAACATACAATTAGGCTTAACACTGGGGTATAACCAACCTGATATACATATATGGGCCCCGCCTTGGGGTGTATTTCAACCCGATCAACACATATGGGCCCCGCCCTGGGGTATATTTCAACCCGATCATACAATAGTGGGCCCCGCCCTGGGGTTTATTTCAACCCAAACATACGATAGTGGACCCCGCCTTGGGGTTTATTTCAATCCATCAAACAAACTGATGTAAGCCACAAAACAACTAACAACCTAAATAACACAATAATGGGCCGGCATTGGTGCCTTCGACCCATGGATACAATGAGAAAACTCACCTCATAGCCCGATGAAAACTGAATAATACGTTGCTCCTAAAATCGACCCTACTGGTCACCTTCATGAAGAACAGTGACCCAAACTCATACTACATCTCAAAAATACCCAAAATACCCCTAGGTCAAACTCCTGGTCAAAGTCAAAGTCAAAGTCAAAGTCAACCGAGTCAACTCGGCGATTACGCTGGGCGTACTACGCATTTGACCAAAAACGAGGGCCTGACCACGTACGCCCAGCGTACGCGGCTGCCAACCAACTCAACCCATTAAGTGCTTAATCCTTAAGCACCTTTGTCCAAAATCCAGATCCAGACCTTAAAAGGTGATCTTAAACCATAAAGATTCCAACTTTACGGTTTTACATGGCTATTAAGACCTTAATAACAAAAACCTTAGCTTCTTGACACATTAAGACAACCTAGATCATGCATGGGAAGAAACCAATGTCCAAGATCCCATTTTTATGACTTAACACACCCCTAAACATTTGAAAGGACAAATCAAACGTATTAGAGCATTCCATGCTCACAAAGGTCAATATTTGGGACAAAAGGGACCAACTTTAAGCTAAAATTAGATCGAAAATAAATGCTCATCAAGGTTGGAGCTTTATACCTCCAGAAGGTGCACAAAAGAATGTAGATGCTAGATCCAAGGCCTTGAGTGAAACACCACAACCTCAAGGTTCTTCCTTCTTCTCCAAAAGCTCGAAAATGGCACCAAAAGGCTCTTCAAGCTTCACAAGGCGCTCACACACTTTAGGGTTTCGAAATGAGGAAGGAGGTTGGAGTTAAGAGGGAGTGTGAGGCCATAAAGATGTTTAAATAGGGTCCAAACCCTAAAAATTAGGGTTTGCACCCTGGCTACGTACACCCAGCGTACTCAGAGTACTCTCATCGTACTCATGCATGGCTAAAAATTACAAAAATGCCATCGGGGACCAATTTTGCAAACAAATCACAATCCAAGGGTCAAAAGAGAATACCTGAAAAATTAAGATGTTACAAAAAACTTGATATTACACAGTTGATAAATTAAAATAACATATATAATAACACATAAAATTAAAAAAAATTAAAAAAAAAAAAAGGAAGTTTAATGCTATAATAACCAATAAAAAAACATCTTAGCTTTTTATTGGGTATTTCTTTCACTATTGTCCGAAGAAACAGAACATACTGCATATAGCTACATAAAAACATTGTGCTAAGCTAGGATCAATAGCACACCTAAAGCAATCTATGGAAGTTATATTTAATATGAAAGTTATGTTTACATCCAAAGTAGTTTTTCATAACATTTTTCCAAATAGAAGTTCTAATGTCCTTTTAAAAAGAAAAATCAAAGTACAATGGTATAAATTAGGCAAGTCTTTCAACGTACATTGTTGATATGCCATCTAACTCTATGCATACTTCATGCAACACCAATCAAACAACACTTTCAATTCGTTATTGCTTTGGAGAATGCCTCGTGAAATTATAAAAATTATATCCAAATGCTATGTCATTTGTGTCCAGTTACAATATTTTAGTGAAGTGTGCCATCGTTTTCTCATCTAACTACTTTCAAACATTATTTATTAGGATAGCACTTCATCGTTAAAAAAGGTATACAGATGCTTGCTTCCACACCAAGCACTCAATAGAAGCATTGTCCTTTATGAGCCCTGATGTCACTTGGAAACTTGTTATTTCTATTCGTTTTGACCTAAAAAAGATGAAGATAATTTGTCAAAATTTCATAGCATTTGCATCAAATAATAATAGTATTCCCTCATTTTTATTGTTTTGATGCAAGAAAACATCTTTTGATCAGTTATATAGTAAATATCAATTGGAGGCTTCTTATGAAAGGTTTACAACCTGGAATAGGAGATGTAAGATAAGGAACTGAAGTTATCAGCAAATTTAACATGATCTTTATAACTATTAGAACCGGACACAAGATTTGGAGTTTTTTTTGAACCGGAACCGGTTACACCCAACACATCCCGAAATCGGTACCGGTACCCGCTTTTTAAAAATATCAAATTGTCAAACATGCAAACTAATCACACAACCAAGAATGTACCATCCCAAGTACATCAAATCTTTGACTAAAGAAAATTGTCCCAAGTACATCCACAATTGTTTATAGAGCTTAAAAAAGTTGACCATAAATATGGATTTTTCAATTCTAACTCAGTTGATAATTATTCCTAAATATGATTGTCCTAATTTTCTCAATTACATGTTCTAGGTTCTGTTTCTATAAGATGCAACATGGCTTGTCATAATAATCAAATGAATATTAAATTACTAATGCCTCATATGCACTACATGAAGTTACTTAAACCGTAAAGATACTTAAAATTGACAATTTGTTGGTTTAATTGCCTTGAGACGAAAGTTAACAATTAAAAATTTACTAAAGATATAATCGTAAATCGTAATTCGTTCTTGAGGCACAACATAATAAAAAACAATATATCACACATATTTTAACAGAATCAAAAATCAAACATCAAATTTAGAACTACAGTTTGAGAGTGGGATGAAGAAGAAGTCGTTGAAGCCGCAACACCGGATAAAGCAGCGCCAGCTAAAGAAGTGTTATCGGCTGAAGAAACGTTGTCGAAGGAGGATGAAGCGTTGCACGCTAAAGAAGCAGCACCATGGGTTGTGGGTCGTGCGTGTTTGGAGTAAACGTGGGGTTTTCCTTTCTTAATCGAATAAATACCTACAAATTAAGTGGAGGGTATATATATATATATATATATATATATATATATATATATATATATATATATATATTTTTTTTTTTTTTTTTTCTTTCTGTTGATGGATTAAAAAGTGCAGTGGATAAATCCGCACCCCAAAAATAATGGTGGAGCCGCGTATACAGTAATAATAACCCAATGGACCAATGGGAATAACATAGAGTCTCTATGAACTATTTGACCCATTTAACAGAACTAATTAACCCCATATTTCACACTACCTACTAAAAAAACACACGCATGCAGGATAGACTCTCCACGAGGCCAGATGAGCCCAATACTTCTAATTGGATTATTGGCTTATTAAATTCGCCAAACTGTTTCTGGAAGCAATTAAAGTTAGTGAGTCGGAGAAGTTTAGGCATTAAAAAGAGAGAGTGTGAGGAGATGTTGGAGCGAATTCATCTCGTTAGTGGCAAGGTCGTTATGCCCCCCAACCTCATCAACCCCTGCAACTATATGCTCCACTGATGCAATCTGTAAGTCAAACATCCATGCTACTCTTTTATAATAGTTTCACTTGAAATGATATGTTTATACAGAAAAACATTTTGACATACTAACGTACACACTTCCAACACAAATTGTATGCAGCAAGACATGGACTTTGGGCAATCGTTCTTTCAAAAACTAGAATATATGAAGATTAACAAGGAAATGAGATAAAAAGAAATATACAAACGAGAAAGATCTAACAATTTTGGCTATAGTTAAAAGATTTTAAATGATATTAGGCATCATGGTAAGCAAATGAATGATTAATTTCTCCCGTTTAATGGTAAAAAAAAAATAAACAGGTTAGGGTTTTTGTGGCCAGACGCATTTGAGATTTAGTATAGGAAGTTAGAAATTTACAATTACAAATTGTTGCAATTTCCAAGGGAAACCGAGTTAGAGACTCACCTGCTTGGCTGTTTCTTCCTTATCTTTGCTTAACTTCCTTTCCTATTCAACAAACATAAATTCGGGGTTTTATGATTCCCAAGAGGATGGATTGATATGCATATGATCTTCGTGTGAGTTGTGACATTCAATTATACATGAACCTAGCTAGCTATATGACGGACATTTGAATTTCTCTATGAAAAAATCAAAGTTGAAGCTTTACCTCTTCTTGGAGAGTGGCTATGTAGTCCATCATTAACTGTGTCTGCGTCAACCATTAATACACGTACATAGTTTAAGCTAGAGTTGATGGAAAAACTTTCTTTGAAATGAGAACTTCACATTAAAAGTACATGAATCACAAATTCAACCCTACAGCTTTAAAATAACATCAAAGAGAATCACAATATAGACTAAAAAATGGAACGTACGTATTAAAAAAGTTAACAATCTAGCTAGGAAAGTGAAGATGAATCACCTTTCTTGACCGTGTTTGCACAAGAGCATCATGAAGTTCTTCTTCTAGTTGTGTCATGTCAGTCAGAGAGAGCTCCTCTGTATTATTCTCTTCAACAAGCCTGTGCAAAAAGTTGGCATTCCTTAACCCATAATGTGAAACTAATTCCCATATGCAGTATATCATTATAATCTCAATTCCCATTAATTAGTTAGTTGTGTGTGTATGGTTACAGCCGAGAATAATGTTTGTTTTACCTGTCTACCTCCTGTAGAAGCTCTTTACAAGTTCTGAATTTTGTGCACTGCAATGGAAGTTCCTGTAGTGCATCTTAAGATTGTTAAGTCGCTAATTCAATGTAATCATTTGTAGCGAGTATATATATGCTGTTAAACACAATGAAGGCGTTGTAGCTCATTTAGAAGCTTACTAAATCTTGGTCATCTCCTTTGATGGTCCCACTTTCTGGTTCTAGGCGATTCTTCTCATACCTAGCAAGAAGATGTGCCATACTGGAGCATGCATGCATAGTTAGAGAACATTTAAACGAGTAACAACTTGGATGATCATATATATAACTTTGAAGTTTGAACAGAAGGCAACCATTTCAGAAATATGAAAACATGCATTAGCATATATTTAATTTTAATAACTTCAAAATCCAAAAAGGACACCATGCTACTAGTATATATAGTACTTTTACCCATTTTCCATTACTATATATGTGATAGGAGTATAGGACCAAATCCTTTTTTTTTTATTAAAATGACGAGAAAACATAACATGATAAACGGACAGGTAAGCGAGAACGACTAATGGACATGACAAATAATTTTAATATATAGCCTCCCTACTATTTGGGTTACTTAAAACAGCTATATAAATGATAAGCATTTTCCTTATTATTTATCTCTATATATATTTGGATGGTCTTTAATTAGGCTCATGCATTCGTGTTGTTAATTAGTATCCTCATGTAGTCATGACACATCACACATGCATTTGTCCATGATTACTTGGCGTTTTTCAAACTTCATCAACCATTGTGCTTGTTGTAGGCTATTTTTTCCTAGAAGATTTTACAAAAAAAAAAAAAAAAAAAACATCTTCCATAATCTATCTATTCTAACAAATCAATTTAAGTTAATTTCATGGACCTTAACTATTGTAACCCATCCTACATTAGTTTGAGACTCATGCATCTCCTCAGGTATCGATGCTAATTAATTAGAGCGGGCCTCAAGTCTTTTTCAAGTGAAGAGTTTTTTTTATAATCCAGTCTCACATGAATAGAAAGTAAGAATCATGAACCCATTATAAATTAATTTGCACCATGGTTTGAAGTTGGTCCTTAATTAATTAGGTTAGTATATATAACTTAGGTTTTGAAGATCATATCAAACTTTGATTTCCACTAACATTTGTCCCAAGTGATCATGTGACTTATTTGCTTATATTGAACCAAGAAAGAGATGCAACAAACCAATTTCATAGGACCTAATACCTTTTTAATTTTTGTTTTAATTGTAATGATATAAAACAAAACACAAGGTTTGTCCAATACTAGACTTTATTAAAAAACACTTTTGTCTCCCATTTTCTATATATAGCATATATTCCATTTCCTTATTATTAAAATATAAATACTAAATTGGATGGAGGTTCGTGCATGAGTCAAAGTGGTGGTTCATTTGAAATCAAAATTCAACTACAAATATAGCATCGACAATATTATTCAAAGAGAAATTAAATATCCTACTACTTTTTGTTCCTATATATCCTCCTACCCAATGAAATGATGACATTTGTAACATTTAATGAAATTTAATGATATTTTAGGATACTAATATGACACATGTCATCATTTAAATTGGTAGGAGGATTGGTAGGATTAAAAGGTATGAAGATATTTAATTTCTCTTATTCAAAAACTCAGAGCAATTACAATATAGTAGGAGCTTTTAGGAGCAATTTAAAAAATTAGGTGAAGGACTAAAGCTATATATAGTAGTAGCTTTTATTTAGAAAGCATGACTTGCAAAGAAGTCTTATACAAGTGAGTTTTTTTATATGTTTTTCTTTTTCTCTTTCTCTTGATTTCTATGAATTTAAAATCATGAGGCACATTAATAAATTAAGTGAATGGGCTTCGTTAAATAACATGAGCTTATTGGGGAGCACTTTTAGTTAAATACGCTTGTCAATGCTAAACAAGCTATTGTGAGGGCTTTTTCATTTTACTTGTAAATTTACAAGGTTATTATATGGAGCTTTTTCATAATTCTAATAATGTTTAATTCAATTACAAAAACTTTTCAGTATGGTACATTGGTAGAACCCATAAATAAGCCTTTGTTACTATAGTGGAGATACTTCTAACTTCTAAGTTTTTTAGTTTTGTAGGGCTGGTGCTTATTTGGCATAAAAAACTTATTAGAAAAGTTTTCTATTTTGTATGCTCTTGTAATGAGAATATATATATATAGTTTAAGCTTTTTGGTTGCTTACTTGTCGTCTAGGTGGCAAAAGGAAATTGAGGAAGTTCGCATGATAGATACTCTTACTAGAAATCGGAGGCAGGAAAAAATCTTAGGGGTACGTAGCACACCGGATTGTATCCACTTCTATAGCGACTATGATTTTCCTGAAGTACTGAAAGTATGTAAAATCTATACAAATTTACTTTTTTCACGTCCATATGCAAAAATATATAAATAATTAACCAATATAGCTAGTAATACAATAAACAATTGAAGAACTGGTGTCGTTACTATATCATGACAGAAATGGAAATGAGAAAGAAGGAAGCAAGGTTAAAAAGAAATGACAAAAACCCGAAGGAAAAACAAAAACCGAACCAACATAATTTGGCCTAGAGAGAGATAATATATACAGATTGTAACTAGAGGTGATGCGCATATACAGAGAAATAGGAGCGAGAGCACATATATACGAACAAAATTTTCAAAATTCAGGCCGAAGAAAAACATAGAAACAGTGAAAGTCACCTGTTACTAGCGCTGCTGCAGAATTCATAGAGTTTGCCGGGGGCGGAGAATACGATGAGGGCGACATCCGCATCGCAGAGCAAGGAAAGATGTCGTGCTTTCTTTATTAATCCCGTTCTCCGCTTCGAAAACGTCACTGACCTGCTACTCTTATTTTCGATCCGCTTAATTTCGAGCTTTCTCCGCCCCATTGATACTGATTATCTCTCCGGCCGACGACGAATCTTGTAGCTAGACCTAACCTTTCAACTTCCAACGGTCTCTCTCTCTCTCTCTCTAAATATTTGTATATGCCCTATGCCCTAGATAGGCCTTATTCTAATTTCTATGATTCTATCTCTCTATTATTTATGAAACCTATCGCATCTCATGTGTTTATATTTGAAAGAAGAATGACCTTGTAATTTATTTTTTTTTATTTTTTTTTAACGGCACCTGTAAATTGTTGTCTAGGATCGTACGGCTTATACTTTTAATAATACTCTTCTGTCGTTAACGTCGGCAAGCCAAATAAAGGAAATAACATTAAGAGGGTGTTTGGTATTGCTTATTGTAGTTTATTAATTTAGGTTAAAGGAGTAGCCTTTGCCTCCTTCTTTGTGTTTGTTAATTTAGGAGTTTGTTCGGCAAAATTAGTTGGTAGCGGGTAGTTTGTAGCAGATAGTTTGAAGCGTTTTGCTTAACCTAAACGCTAGGAGCTTGTAGTGCAAACAAAGTTTTTTGTTCAAAACGGAGCGTTTTGTCAAACGCTAGAAGCTAAAAACTCTCAAACGCTTCATGCCGAACACGCCATAGGTAAGAGGGAGCGGTCTTGCCTCTGTTTGGCCAACACCCTAATGTTATAAAGAATGGTCTACAAGATACTTATTCCAACAATATGTCATTTCAGCATCACATTAGTTTTACAACATGCATACTCTACTTAGAAAATACTTACCACTGCATATCATTAAATATTTTTATTTTTTTATTTTTTAAAATACTTAATTTTAATAAAAATATAAGATTTTTAAATGAAATTAAAATTCCATTAAACCAAACTAAAAGTACATTACTAAAATGAAAATAAAAATTACACTAAAAAAACTTTAAAGACATAAAATTAAAAATAACATTACGCTTAAATTAAATATTACATTACAACCTAAAAATATGAGATCCCCTATTTTTCAAAACGAATTAAAACATTTTATTTACGCTTTATAAAATTAAGATGCGAAAATTCTCAGTTAAACAAAACATTTGTGAGATAACAAAAGTTATTTCATTTATTTAAAAACTTGAGGATATCATCGTTTATATCCAAACATACATTACAACGTAAATATTAAAAGTCATAAAACTAATTTGTAACATCCCGACTCCCAGGTATAATTTTAAAGGCTTTATATTCATTTTAATGAAGGAACTCGACGAGTTGGATGCTCCAACTCGTCGTGTCAAACCTAGTCAGCCCGCGTGATTTATGACTCCTAGCCCGAGTCGATGAGTAGAGGTTGTGCATGGAAACCCTAAAATTTTAGGGTTTGCACTCTATTTAAAGAATTTATGGGCCGTTTCTAGCCTCCCTTATCGTCATTACAGCTAGAGGAAACCCTAGATCGAGTCCTAAACCCCCATTGTGTGTGTTGAGAGCTTGAAAGGTGTTATTTGTTGACTCTGGAAGGGAAACTTGAAGAGTGGGGAGCTTGGATCGACAAGGAGGAAGTGAATCTGTCATCTACTTCGTTTTGGCAACCAATCTGAGGTATAAAGCTAATACCTTGACTCTTTCATGCTTAGATCTTCTCCTATGGACATTTATGGTCATTTTAGGGTTAATGGAGCCACTCTTGGGTTTGAGCTTGTCACAAGGACATGGTCTCAAATCTGGACTCCTCTAGTCCCAGATTCATAGAGCTGTCAACTTTATTTTGTATTGGCTATTCTCCATGCCCTAAACCTCACTCTAGACTTGGTTTTTGGTGTTTAGGCCTCTTAAGACCTTGCATGCACGTAAAGTTTGCAACTTTACGTGATAACTTCACCTTAGGAAGCTAGATCTGCAATTAGGAGCTTTGGCATAGCTTAAAAACGTCTGAATGAGAAATGGACTGAAGGGACTCGACGAGTTGCTTGGCCAACTCAACGAGTCGGATGAAGATTGCCTGTATTGGTTCTGCATGGACTCGGCGAGTCAGGGAGATGACTCGACGAGTTAGTTAGGGTTTTTCCCGACATTTGGACCCCGCATGGACTCGACGAATTGCCTGGAAACTCGACGAGTCAACTAGGGTTTTCACGATTTCTCGAGTTCTGGAAGAACTCGACGAGTCAGTGGGCTACACTCGACGAGTTGGGTCAACATGAATTGTTGACCTTGATCGTTGACTTTGACTTTGACCAAGGGTTGACCAGTTTGACTTCTGGGGGTATTTTAGTAATTTGAGAATTTATGGAAATGGATCATTGGTGGATGTAGGTGTTTGATTTGGAGCTGTATTTGGAGGAGTTGACTTTATCATCCCGAGCTACTTGTGAGGTGAGTTTTCCTCATTATACTAACAGGGTCGAAGGCACCAATGTCGGCCCTTTTCGGAGTTATATTCGGGTTTGTTGCATGATATGCTTAATGATTTGCATCCTAGTAGTGAGGATGGTGATATGCTTAGTGAACTGGTAGGTCGGTATCCTGGTATATAGGATAATGCTATGTTAGTGACCGGTTAGGTCGGTATCCTGGTATATAGGATGTTGCTATGATTAGTGATCTGTTAGATCGGTTTGACTGTTATATATGATAGCGTATGATATTTATGTGCACATGATTTTTTAATTTTGGGGGTTGGGTTGAGGCGGACCTGCTTTGTGTTGAAGGCCAACATACCCATGGCGGACCGGATAGACTGCAGACCCAGTATGGCATACTAGGCAGGCCGAAGGCCTGGCGAGTGGTCCGGATAGGCTGAAGGCCCTGAGAGGCGGTCCAGACATGCCGATGGCTCGGAGAGCGGTCCAGATAGACTGATGGCCCTGTGAGGCGGTCCAGTCAGGCTGATGGCTCATTATGTCTGCTGTTTGTTTATATGATATGATTATGATTGTATGTCGTTGGTATTTTGGGGGGAACTCACTAAGCTTCGGGCTTACAGTTGTTGATTATGTTTCAGGTACTTCCGATGATCGCGGGAAGGCGAAGGCGTGATCGTGCACCTCCTTATGTTTTTGTGATTTGATTATGGGATACTCTGACACTAAACCATTTTGAAAACAAATTTGTAATAATGATTAGTTTTTGAATGATTTAAAAAGTTTTAAATTGGCATGATTTTTATGAGTGTTACAAGTTGGTATCAGAGCCTTGGTTTGAGTGAATTTGAGGAAACACTCATGTGTCTCCAATCTCAAACTAAGGACAATGTTTTAAAATGATTTTTTTCAAATGGTTTTCAAAATACTAAAGGAGGATGCAAGTGTTCGATCAGCCGGAGCCAGTAATTACGGGTTATTTGATTTTGTGATATGTTAGAACAACATGCTAGTACGAGGCTAGGGATCTTTAGGAATTGCATGATAGAATTGCCTGATTATATAATGTTTGATAGCCTAGGGTTTTTCCTTATATGAACTTGACATCATTACTGTAGTTGCTTAGTGTATACATCACGGCCGTACATAATTAAGATCTTATAGCCTGAGAATGTTTGGTTTAGCCTTATTTCCTGTTCTTGTTTGATGAAGGGCTTAGGGTAGGATCAGGTATTTGAAAGTCTATAGGGTCCAGCGTTATGTATGGCTACCATACACGAGTGATGCAGGGTTGTGGAAGTTTCATGGGTGGGTTGTGCGAGGTTGGTAGGCCATTTATGAGATATTTAGCCTTCCTCTAGGAGTGAGGATTGAGCGCTCGCATGCATATGTATATTGTTAGGGCGTTGTGATGATACTTGGGACAAATATGGGTAGGTGTGGAAGGTAGTATGGGCCCGTACTACTGAAAGGACAGTTGTTGGAGATGTTTGGGTCTTTTAAGACCGCCATGGTTGAGTATTTTTTGACGAGCGATATAGACAGCCATTGCTGAGACGGCTGCCACATCAACTACAACAGCTGTAACGGCGACAGGAGGAGGAGCTAGTCGGTCTTTTCAGTATCGGGACTTCGATAACTTGAAGCCCCCGACTTTTGAGGGGATTCAGGACCCGATCATAGCCATGAGGTGGCTTTCTAACGTGGAGGGGTGTTTCTTCACATGCTTATGTCCTGCTGACCAGAAGGTCAAATGATCGATCAACTACAACAAGAAAATACAGAGAATGCATGCCGAAGGCAGGGCCGGCCCTAGGGGCAGGGCAAGTTGGGCGACCGCCCCGTGCCTCGCCAAAACTCGGGGCCACCAAAAGTTACGATTAATGTATATATATTTTTCGATAATATTAATATAAATATGTAAATTAGAAACAAAAGTATTTGTAGTTGAGATGGTGGCACGTATGCAGTAAGATTCACAAAAGGGTGCGTGTTCGAACCTTTTTAACCAATGTTTAATTTTATTTTTTACATCATCCCAAAGCGTAGTTCTCAAGAAAATAAAAAGCATTTATATTTTATATTTTACATTTTTTTGTGCGCCTCTCTTACTTTGTCCAGCGTTCTTGAGAATATCCCTGTTCTTCACCCAGTTCTCTCATCCCAAAGCGTCTTCTCAGTTCTCAATAAGAAAAAACGACAAGGAGAATGTGATGTTTGATTTCTAATATCTAATTCTCTGAAGTTTTATTTACGATAATCAATATGACGATGAAGTTAGATTTATGATAATCAGAACAAACGGTTACTGATGTTCGATTTTCAACCAATCCTAAACGTTATTTAAAGAATCAGATTAAAGGGTTTCCAAGTATTGATTTATCATTTCGATTTCTGAAGTTCTTTCTTAATGTTTGATTCCTGAATGTTGTTATCTACATGTAATACATGTAAGCGTTGCTAATTCAACATTTATTTTTTCAAATTTTTGTGTTATTTTTTGATTGTTTGTGTTCTTATCTCTAATTCTCTCTCAATGTTTGTAAGTTTTGTTCTATTTGTTATTGTTTCTGTTCTTTGGTATATTTTATTTCACTACTTGTTTTGTCATTAATATTGTAAGTTTTTAATTCCCTTAGGGTTTATGCATCATGCTAACAGGAATGTGTACAGTGGAGACAACTTAGTTGATGAACAACCCTCTTATGGAGTACGAAATCTTACAATGTGGTTTGCTTTTTAAATGTAATGACTTTAGGGTACTTATAGTTTTATATCACACCCGTAGCTTTTTGTGTGGAAGATCACTTTGAAGATCAAACTGGAAGAACAC